GTGGGTGCGATACCTCCGTCAACCACAAAACCACGAAAACTTGAGTAACGCTTTCGATGAGTGACAAAGCATTCGGACAAGGTGGTCTCCTCCCCTCCGCTGGCCTGCGTCTTGCCTCCCTCGAGGGCCAGGGTTTGGTGCATGGTAATGCGACTCTCAGGTATGTCATAAAATCGCATTGTGCATTTTAGATTGGTTGCCAACCCACTGACTGACTGACTGACTGAATAAGTGGATGACGTGTTTTGAAGAATGATGTGTATATACGACCAGGAGGACCCCCATGTCATTCACTTCACACTTTTAAGTCAACCCACAAAAACTATGTCTGTGAGGTGAATGAATTGGGGCTTCACTTGTTGACAGCGTCGGTACCTCTTCGAGGGTCTAAGCAGCCAGTTTTGAGTGAAAGACTTTAACTTTATGCAGCTAGGGCATGTGCGCATGGACCTTCACCTTCTTCCATCCGTATGGGAGGAGGAACGAAGGTTGCCTGTGTATTCCAATGAGGCGATGAACCACCTTGCACGAGAAAGAAGACGAAGAGGAGGAAGCAAAGGGGACCGTGACAGCTAAGAGGAGAGGTGCCACACACCCTCCCGTGGCGGTTGGTTAAGTGGGAGTACTAAAGCCCCAATGGCTACTTCATTCGCATACACTCGCCTTCACAATTGACGAAGGACGAGGACGAGGATGAGCGAGGGGAGGTTCGAGTTTTGTCGATGTGTAGACGCAGCTGTGCAGTACACACGTCTGCACTTGTGTTGACGATCAGGGGACCTCGTACGATTGGAGTTGAGTTTGGAGTCAATGATGAAGTTGGCAGAGCAAAGCAAAGAGACTCACTCGACGTTCCATTCACTCACCAATGGGTTAACATTTGCCCCAACAGTTTCCCGCGGATCATGTGACAGGTGATGAGGAAAAAGACTTCTCGTGTGGATCCATGGAATGTCTGACATTATTCGACTCCAAAAAAAAATGCCCTCTTTTAGTAAAGCAAATCTGCCTTCACAACTTTTACACTTCAAAATCACAAAAAGGTACACAAAAAAAGGCAAAATGCTTAGTCGTTTCTGCCTCCTCTTTTGTTGTCAGGAAACGGGGATAGGCGAAAAGGCCACCAGGAACCAACCCGAGTCGACAAAAATTTCCAGGTTATCTACACCCTAGTCCCAATATCAAGTAGGAGGTGAATTTTGCCTCCTAGTCAGTCAAATGGTCGGCCTTCCGCCTTACTTTTTGCCCCCATAGCTACGTGTTCGTCAGGAGTAACACCAATCATGGCTTGGTTCCCTTCCTTTTTCCTCGACCATCTCCACCACGTTTGATTTATTGGCAAGTCAGCCATCACAACCGGGACGAGAAACAGCGAAAAGAAGAGAGAGAAAGAGAGAGAGAGAGAGAGGAAGCGAGAGAGTGAGAAAAAAGAGGGAAAAGATTTTGGGTTATTGGTAGAGTGAAAAAGAAGACGATGTCTTGTCGTGGCATCCGATGGATGTCTGCGGTTGTCAGTAGTGAGGCGAGGCAAAAAAGTGCCTTGGTGGGGGGTGTTAGTCAAGTATATCTGTGAGTCATTGTCAAAAGGATGTGGATTGTTGTCTTGTTTGTTGTTTTGGTTTGGTACAACACTACTAGCACTCTCTAAAAAGGTGAGAGGCTTCACTGCCTCGACGATCCACTCGCCACTTTCCATTCCATGACAAGGTGTAACCGAACAGGAGAGAGAATGGAATGTCTCCATTATGAAGGATTCATGGCAAGTTGTAGAGGTGGTTGCAATTTCTGATTTGAAGGGTTTAAGGAATAAACCTTCAATCATGTGTACAGACCATTCGTCGACTTCCAACCAATCAAAATTGAGAATCAAGAGCGCAACATTCAGTTCAATTTTTCCTCCTCATCCTATAAAGCCAAGTGCATGGAAATCTGGATCGTACAATGGAGCTTCAAGAGGCAAAACAGGAGGACCGAATCATTTGATTGTGGGCACCGGACCGTCTTACTCATTCCAAATGAAAGGCACTTCTTCGTCTTGACAAGGAACCAACTTACAAGTACCACAAAAAAATCTCCCTTTTTTGTGTGTCTGTAGTGTTGTGGAGGAATTAACTGTCACCTTAACGAGAGAAAGAATTTTTGCCTAGGAGGGTGTCAAATGCTTTCCCATTTCTGTGACATTTTCATCGCTCTCTCTCTCTCTCTCTCCTCCCTCAACACATTGCTTTTAAGGACAATATAGATGATAAAAGAATCGGCATTTCTTGCGAAATTTCGAGGCATTTGCTTGTCTTTGTTTACGCTTATCGTCAGTAAGCATGAAAATGCTCTTCAATTATCGCCTTCAAATACAGGCGTTCCATTATGCGTGTGGCAATGAGTTATCGCGCAGCCGAATGGCTACTAAAGTTAGTAGCTACCCTTTTTGTCGCTTCATTTGATCAGTGAATCATCCGTCTACAAGTAGATTGACTTATTTTTACTAACTTAACCCCTCCACAATGAGACTTTTCGTCTCTCTCTCTCTCGCTCTCGCTCTCGCTCTCGCTCTCGTTGGCGGCTTTTTCACGCCTCTTTGTGGGTCAGGACAAGCACGGGAGAATGATGGAGGAGGAGAAGGAGAAGGAGAAGGAAAAGGAGGAGGAGAAGGAAAAGGAGGAGGTGAAGGAAAAGGAGGAGGTGAAGGAGGAGGAGGAGAAGGAAAAGGAGGAGGAGGAGGTGAAGGAGGAAGAGGAGAAGGAAAAGGAGGAGGAGGAGGTGAAGGAGGAGGAGGAGAAGGAAAAGGAGGAGGA